AATAATCCAAGGCCACATTTATCTGCTTTGTTACACCCAATTCCAAATTCAGCAATCTGGTGATTAACTTTTATGGTTCTTCATCAAGGTCTCAGGCTCTGTTCATTTTTGGGCATTTCCTCTTTAGAATACCTAAAAATAGTGCTACATGTGTACAGGTGTGTGTGTGTGTGTAAGATTATATATATATATATATATTTATATATATATATATAAATATATATATATATTTCACTCTGTCTCCAAATTTCAGTGTTCCTGCATCTTGTGAAAAGCTTTGCAGATGGATATTCTTTTCTGAACACTTTTCTCAGAGGTGTGTCATGCTGTGTTGCTGGAGTGCAAACATATGTGTAGCTAATCCAGCCCTGATCACCTAATACTGGTTACACTATATAAACTTTGTTGATTAAGTCTAAAGCTGGGTAAAAATTGTTATGTTAACAATAAACAATTTTTGTTGCATACATTTGTATACATTTTAAAAAGTTACCTTGTTTTGAACTAGAGGCAGGCTTATTCCTGTTTCAAACGAAAGCACCCGAAGTCTCAGTATATCCTAGTCTCTTGCTTCTGTTGTGCTTTGGTCTTATCCTTGGCTTATGAATTGTTTTTCTGCTTTCTATCTGGAATCCCAACTCAATAGCTACTCCAACTCAAAAGCACTGAGAAGTTATGAAATTGCAGAACAGACATTAGAATGGAAAATAAATTTAACAAAAAGAAAATGGCAAGCAGTCCCATGTATAAAGTCCAATAACTTTAATGTGTTTATTTTTGCTTTACTCTTGTCATCAAGGGTGAATTTTTAGCTGTTCCTTTCGTACAACAACAGAGAATCAGTGATTGCATGAACACATTAGTCTCTACAAGGCTAAATCTACCCCTAGCACACATTAAAGGGACCAGAATGACACACCATGCATCTCGGGTGACCGTGCACTACCATATACTCTGAGCCCTACACCAAATTGACATTTTAACTTTGTTTCAAATGTCTCTTAGAGACAAATATAGAAAGTAGGTATAAAAACCTCTGAAGAATACCAAGAGTAATGAGATTTTGCCAAGGTTTGGTTGTATTTATTATGGATAGTTTTCAGGGACTAACTTACCAGAAAGCCTGACGGATTTGAGCAGTCATTTTGACCTGTGATTTAATTATTAAATACAACTTGAAGTCCTAAAAGAAAGCATTGTCTAATAAATTATGGATCCTGCTATCTTTTTATAAACAAACAACCTCTTATGATTTTAAAAATAGCAACAACATGCTGATGGAAAAATTTTCATGATGTTGAAATAGGTAGAGTAAAAGCTTATAAAAGTCACTCTTTCTTTTTTTTTTTTTTTAAAGATTTTATTTATTTTATTTTTTCCCCCCAAAGCCCCAGTGGATAGCTGTATGTCGTAGCTGCACATCCTTCTAGTTGCTGTATGTGGGACTCGGCCTCAGGATGAACAGAGAAGTGGTGCCTCGGTGCGCACCCGGGATCCGAACCCGGGCCACCAGCATCGCAGCGCGTGCACTTAACCACCAAGCCACAGGGCCGGCCCTAAAAGTCACTCTTTCAAAACTCAGCAGGGAACGAGATCAGAGCATTTTGAGATATTCATGAAAAATACTACTCAATTAAGTGGGTTTTTTTCCCTCTTACTCTCTCCAACCCTCCTTTCCTCCTCTCCTTCCTTAACAACTGGGCTCCATCTATGGTTTTAATCATACCAAATCAGGTTTGACTTAATTTGAATTTCCTTTTATATGATTAAAAACAACAAATCCCCCACTTTTGATCAAAATGAGATATTCTCAGTCTCTTATCATTCATTCTCTATCATTCTAATTCAATAGGATTCTAATGTAACTTGGCAATAGCTAATATTATTTAGATAAAGAGATATTTAGGGAAGATAACCAGGCAAGAAATTTAGAAGGAAGCAATGGCTTCTGTGGTTAAAAATAAAAGTCTGGTATTCAGTTTTGCTTTGCCGTACAGAAAATAGATGTTGCTGTTCTTGTTTACAATATACAACTGAAATCCCATGCCTAGGCTCTGGAATGTCTAAAGTAACTATGGATACCAAATTTATGATTGGAAAAAAATCTGGCATTTAGTCTTCTATTCATATTTAAAATCAAGACATAATTTTATTCCTGAAATATGTTGATTATCTATATGACGAATTCACTAATTTATATACTCAGGAACACTGATGATAAACACTCTCAGTTCTGGGTTCAATTTGGGGGCATGAGGTTGTTATACTATATAGCCTCTTGGGAACAAAAGTGAAAAAAAAGGCCATGGAGAGATGTTCTCACCGTTCCCTGTTCTCCTTTTCTGTAATTCTCTCTTTCCTCCAGAAGGATTCTGCAGGGACAGACACCCTGACTTTGTCCTTCAGCTGAGCCCTTGCACTGCTGCTATCCCCCTTGGGCAGAGGCTTCCAGTGGTACCTCCCACTGGGACAGCCATGCCCCTGCCCTGGGGACCACCCAGGAGGCTCCATCTCACCTCCCCACTCTATCCTTGAGAAATTTAGGTGACCTAACATGGAGTAATTATCTGATGTAATTTGCTTGGATGTGGGTAAGATGTTCCCAATCTTTTACCATTCACTCTCTATTATGTGTAGGGAAGAATTACTCTAATTCTGCCCTGTTCTCACAAATCTAAGCCCACTGAAGGAAATCATAAAAGATGCCAATTTTCACCTCATTCAGCCAATACTGAGCATTATAGTATCTGTGAAGCCTCCCCTGGGCTGTAAGTGCCAGGAAGGCAGGGATGGTGCCCGAGTGCTCAATTAGACTATCAGCACATGGCAGATGCTCAGAAAAAACATTAATAAAGGAAAGAATAAAATATACAAACAGATTTACTTATAGCAAAAATAGTGACTTTCCCAATGAAATCTGTTCATAAGATAGATCAATCTGTTATAAATGCAATGATGCTTTTGTTAAAAAAACCACCTTGTGCATTTGGTGTATAGGAACTACGTATGTGAACACAGACCACACTGGGGTGTTTTGGAATTAACCGTTTCTTTACTATTTTCCAGGCTTGTCAGAATAATTGTTCTTCTGAACTCACTAAAATTTCTTCTTCTTCTTTTGTTTTTGTTTCTTTTTTTCTGGCTGACCATGCAGACGTTCCAAACTATTTTTCTTGAATGTGATTCCACCTGTGCCATCAATCCTATGAAAAGGAAGCTTCAAAATTCCGTCCTCATCAACATGTAAGCAAAGCATTAGCCACTACTCTGAAGGGGAGCCCTGCACCTGAGTGGGGAAAGGCGGGAACGACTGCCTCCTGCTGATCCACGTGCCCGTGTCAGCAACCGCTACTGAACACAACGTGGGCATGCTAGGAGTCTCATTAGCCAATTTTGATAACCAATTTCTCACTTTTAATGTCTGGGTATCCCTAAAGGTCCCACCCCCAATTCCTTGACTATCATTTCTACCTTTGCTTCTACATGAACACATTTTAAGTTATGCATTGTCTAATTAATATAGAAATATGTTGAGATAATGCATGATATTGCATTTAACCTCTGAACTTCTTAATGACAAAAGGTGATGAGAAGGTGGCTGATTCCTACAGAGGCAGCAAGTGGCCCAGCAGATCGTCCTGCCCCCTAACTGTCCCTCATCACAGTCTGCCACCAGAGCCTTCCCAGTAATCTGCTTGTGCTCAGAGCTAGGGACACGAGTCCCTCGAGGTTTTTGACATTAATTTGGTTTTGGCAAAATCAGAGGGGATTTTGTGGCTAATAATGCCAGATTATAGGACGTCTACAATACACAGAACCACATCTCTAAAGCCTGCACCTTTGCTGCTTGCTTGCTTTTTGGTGGAGTTTTGAATTGTGACGATGCCTACGATGGTCTGTTAAAGTGAACAGAACTACACGCTCTCCTCCAAGTCCTCAGCTTGGATTTATTAAAATGATGGTACAAATGATGGTGTGGTTATTGCCAAACACATAAAAACTACCATAATCGACCCTTCACTAAACACTTGCAGCTTAACAGTGGTAAAAATAATGGACAAAGCATCGACATTATGAAGAATTGGCACAAAAATTTACGTTAGAAAACATGTTCAGAAGCACATGTCTACCGGAAGCCTTACAGCGTCCACTGTCACTTGCCCTTCGCAATCCGCCTCCTGGCCTAACTGATTTTACTCTCCGTTTTTCACTATTTTGTATAACGTCCAGAAGGCAGGTGTAGTCTAAATATTAAATATAATTTTAAATTAATGACTTTACCCTAAATTCACTTTGTGACATGTTTTCGACTAGATTTCTTTCATCCCTTATTTTGGGATTCTCTCTGAGAGCTTCCCAAACACACTGCCCAGGCTGAGAGTGATGAGCAGGGAGCTGGAGTCAAGCCTTACATTTCAGGCAAGAGATGACTTGCCAAACTTAATTATATACATAAAATGTGAAAGGTGGGACAACATGGGACGGGGACTTTAGAACGAATGAGCTTTGATTTCAAATCATTTCACTGAATCTGGAAAGAACGACAGAGGAAAGAGAGTAAATAAGTGTTAATAGTTTACATTTCCATTGTTATACAATGGACACATAATTTAAAAAATCTGCTTAAAATTTTAAAAATGAATTAAAACCAAATATGCCTTTTCCCCCCTTTCCTTTTATTTTCAGTAATTTTTTCACTCTCACAGTGATGAAATGTAGAAATATTTATTTTGATTCAGTCTTGGAATGAATTTGAGAAATCCCTAGCTATGGTGAGGCTCTTGCTTATTATTCACATAAAAGAGGGGAGACGATGTTTAGAGCTTCAAGGTGGATTGCTGGGCTTCTGCTATCAACGTGAGGCTCTGATGGTCATACTAAATCACACTCTTTCTTAACACAGCTTTTATAACAAAGCAGCCTCTTACATGAAAGGATCAGTGCTTCTAAATTGCTTGTTTTACTGCTACTATTATCAGTCACAATGAATGAGGAAACAGTAATATTTCTATACACCAGAATTTTCCAAAGTGGGGCCTATGGAACATGAGCTCCTTGAAATATTACTAGGTGTAACTCAAAAAAAGTTTCTGTGGTCAAATTAATCTGGAAAACACTGAGCTAACTGAAATTACATTTGTGGTGTGTTTTTTCCTTCTGCAGGACATTTAAATTAGAATTTATGTGCTTATATGCCCTAACTTTCTAACATGGTATGTTTCCCAAAGTCATTGACCCTGGAGCCCTATATTTGGAAGAGTACCTTTAGAACTTGTGTTTTGTGGAACACCTCTTGGGGAACACTGGATTCTATTACTCCTGCAGTGTTCAGCTAACTAGCTCAAAAGCCTAGATATCAACAGTTTAATCCAGGGCTGGCCCCGTGGCTTAGCGGTTAAGTGCACGCGCTCCCCTGCTGGCGGCCTGGGTTCGGATCCCGGGCGCGCACCGACGCACTGCTTCTCCAGCCATGCTGAGGCCACGTCCCACGTACAGCAACTAGAAGGAAACGCAGCTATGACATACAACTATCTACTGGGGCTTTGGGGAAAAAATAAATAAAATTATAAAACAAAGAAAAACAAAAAAAACAGTTTAATCCAGAGGCAATTAAATAGGCCCAGCATGGTATCTAATAGTCATGTCATTTCTGCAGAGCTGGGTCAGGAATGCTGCTGTGATGAGCTAAGGCAGTTTTGGGAGAATATTAAGGGAAGATCAGTCTAATGATGGGTCATAAGAAGGAAGAAAATGTCTGAGATCATTGGAAAATAAAGCTTTACCCAAAGTATGTATTCCTGTACTTTCAAATGAAATGTTGCCCTTTCTAAACCTTCTGCGTTGACACAGTTGCAAGAGTTAGATCTGGCAACAACTCAGGAAGAACAAATCAGGAAAATCAAGGTGTGCCTGGCAAAGGAACGAGTGATCTTTCCCTTCGTGAATCCCTCATGTATTGCCAGATACACCGTGATCCAGTTCAATAGTGTAATCAGTTTCCTAGAATCACTTCAGATAGGACTGAAATACAATCCTGTTTGCACAAAATGTATCTGGGTTGAAATCATTACAGCTGTATGAAATAAGGCCTGTTTTAAGTTATCTAGATTGCATATGCTCCTTTACTCTATCAGACACTCTCTGTAATACTCTTATCACATGGACAAGATTCAAGGGGCCAGTACCTTGATTCACAGCGAGGAATAGAATGTAGCCACTGGCTACCAGTAATGTGTACACATGGTCAGTCAGGTTATATTAGAACAGGACTTCAGACTTGAGTGCCTTGGGCAAGTTGGTCACATAAAATAAATGCAGGTCTTGGGAACTAGCTCTGGAGTTTCCACATAAGTATTGTTTATTCTTTTGATTAGAGAATTGAAAATACAATGAATTTTTAAAAATTTTCCTGCTCTCTCCCTCCCCTCCAAATGCTAACCTATTTTAAGAGTACAAATTGCCAGGGGAGCGGCAGCAGAGCAGTGCATTAATGAAGACCTGGGCTTGGCATCTTGCTGGGGGCTCATAAGCACATACTCGTTCGTTCCCAGCTTCATTTCTAAAAGACTGTAAAAACTATCCCAAAATCTGGCATCATGGGGGTTATTGGCAATGTGAACTCAGGCTAGGGAGTCTAGGCAGCCTTGGGCGACAATTCCAGAGCTTTAGCAGTACTGTTTAGGGAAGCCTCACATGCAAACTTCTCGAATCAGTTTCTCTACAGTTAGATTCAACCTTCCCTAGTCCCTAGAAAACAGGAGCGGCTGTGCGCCACAGGGCACCCGGGGGTGATGTGTGCCCACCCCAACAGCTGGAAGAGGGTCAGGGAGAGAGCGCCCCAGGAGGACAGGGGAAGGGAGCAAAGTACTCTGATTGTGGATGTAACTATTAACCATTGCCACTATTTTGCCTAGAACTTCTATCTTTTAAAAATCTATAAGTCAAAGTGGGAGGAAAAGAGGCAGAAAGGGACTAGGAAATACACACACTACTTGGTTAAAGTCAGAAATGAATTAATTCTACAAAGTAAAACTTAGAACACGCCTTGTGAACCTCAGAGGGAAAGTCATGCACCCCTGCACTCAGCACCATCTACTAAGACATTTTGCAGGGAAAATAAACACTAATTTACTAATTTAGTAGCTTTTTTCATCTTCACCAAAACATTACTATTTTCATTTTAGACAATAACAATGATCATGAAATTTAAAAATCTCTTCCCCTTATTGTGAATTTTGGGGTTAAGATAAAAATTAAAAAGGAATATTGACTACGTACCATAAAAGGCTGAGACTACTTAGTCCTGACCTTCAGTTAGACGGTGGGCTTTGCTAACTCTCCAGAGTCAGAACGTCCTGAATCTCCAGGAAAACTCAGGCCACCTGGCCTGAGGGTCCCATCACTGATCACAACCCGCGTGTTCCCCACATTCCCCCCCGACCCCACCCCAAATGCACACATCCAAATGCACACATCCAAACGTTCAGTGTCTTTCAATAGGCAAACACTTCAATCTAAAATGGCGGCAGATATCTTGTACTAGAATATTCTATGGCTAAAAAAATAACCAGGGTTCTAATATTGGAAATTCTAATGTTACAGTTTACAAAAGTAAGCAAATCTCTTGGGAAGTCATTATTAATTCTCATTGCAATCAAAGAAAAGGTTAGTGCTTGGAGGAATCTAACAGTCCTTGGTAGCCACAACAGAATCTTTTCATCCTCTAGAGTGCTCTCCTGGAAGCTGCTTCTGGAAAGCTCCACAGCTGAAGGAGGGCAGGGGAGGGGCACTGTGGGCAAGAGGTGGCCAGTAAATGGGGCCTTCGAGAAAGTATAACAACAAATGCCCACTCAAAAAGAACAAAACCAGGATACCCTGGCATGTCAGACACAGAGGATGGGAATGCAAAGGAAATCTTATTTGGCTGTTCGAGCTATCTCAGTCAGGCAAACAGGATGACCCAGCATTTCTGTCAATTAACTTATAAAATACTAAGATTGAAAACATGACTTTGGTGATAGGAAATGGAGAACAGCAAGCCTGGCCCCAAAATAACTCCGGCAGCTTAACAATACAGGTTCAAGCTTGAGTCCCCAACCAGCTTTGCTGCACTGAACGCAGGGCAGGCAGTGTGGGGCAGCTCGCGTTTGCCTGGGGAAAGCTACCTGGTACAGACGGTCATTTGCAACCAAAAGTCGAAGGCTGCTGCCTGTCTATCGTCCAGGAGAAGCACATCCCAGTAGCTCACCACTAAATTCCAAACTGCACTGGGAACTCTGTACTCGGCTTCAAGGTACACACATGCAGTTCCAGGCTGCAGCTCCTCAGAAGACTGCTTGAAAGACACTTGAAAACTACTGGAATAGGAGAGAAAAAAAACCTGCACAAAAACTGGCAGCTGGAGCTCACTGCAAGGGGGTCACCTCACCAGCTCTCTCCCAGTGCGAACAGCGGACTTCCCAAGGGGCACTGTGACTCATTCAGCCATTATTTTCCTCTATCTGCCCTTAGAGACGGAAGGAATTGTGGTACAGTGATTTGCTTTTTTCGCTTCCCCTAAGAGGTTTCTTGGTGATGAAAGACAAAAACCATGGTGTCCGGTGGTGGTGGTGAAGTTAAGAGCAGCCTAGTCCATAAGGTAAGGGTAAGCCAAAGGTTAAGGTCATGCACAGTTAGGACAAACGCACAAAGACTGGTCGGGTTAGGTACACAAAGTCTATTTAACTAATAAAGGGAGGGAGGGAAAAAGGTTATTTCTGCTGTGCAGGCGGCTCTCATCCTCCCCACTTCCCTCAGTCTCCAACAGCAGGCGCGGAATAATAAACCATCCCAAATCTGTGTCTGGGCCGCTGCTGAGCAGAAATCCTGGGCTCAGGAGGACAAAGCATCCTCAGACAGCTGCCCTTGGCAAGGGCGTGGCCACATGCCCCGACTCACAGGTGACCTGCGCCCCCGGCCCCCCGCCGCCGCTTCGGGAGCCTGCCCTGCTCACCGCCCCAAAGAGAGGATACAAAGTCGGATGCCCGGAGGGCGCCGCAAGGGTCTTGAAGAGAATCTTAAAAGGGAGACTATATGGCACATATGCCGTTCACGTCATACATGTGAATCTACAGCTAGATATTTATATATTTGAAACACTGGATGAAAGAGTTGGGAAATATGAAGAAACCGTTTTCCAGCCTCTCAACTACGTTGGCCAAGAGCACCCTCTGTCTATCACTGCGTACAGACCTAAGACTGCCAGGGAGGGGATCCCGTGTCCAGGATGGATGACCCTAATGCAACTCCCACACCTTTCACTACATTAAAAGAGACCAGTGTGTTGAAAGTCCTTTAGTCTAAGGCAGCTGAGACCCTGAAGGGCTCACTGCTCTTCTGTTTTGCTGCTATTCCTGAACTTCACCACCATGACTGTTATATTGTCAGGGCAGCCTCTGTAAAATGACTGTAAAACTATGCTCTTGGCCCCAAAGTGAGGTTCATCCAAGCGCTCCTTGATGAATCGGACAGCTTCTTCATTGCTGAAAGCATCCCAGAGGCCATCTGACGCCAAGATCATGAACTCGGGCTGGAGCTTGTCCAGGTCAAAGGTCAGGATATCTGGGTCTGGGATGACCACATTGAGATTTTTCAGTGGATAATCCCCCAGGGAGCGAGACATGGCCAGGATTCCCTGGACCCTCCAGGAGCCATTGAAACTGATGAAACCACCTGGAAAGAGAGAATGAGCCCGTTAGCCTGACCAGCTGATATCTCATCCACCTGGCAGAGTCTCGGTGCAAGTACAAAAGGCTGACCCTGCATGTGCTCCCCTCACCCCACCCCTGCACTGCCAGGAAGGAGCAGCTTTCCTGCTGCATGGCTTGAGGTTTCACACGACACCAGTAGATCCTCATGCCCTCATCCTGGGCATCTTAAAGGCCTTCAAGAATATATCAATACGAATATTGAGGCTGGGAGATACGTATGGGTGAGGGCATCTTGTGAACTCAACAACACCTTGGCAGCTCAGTGACTGACTCTAGGGGGCACTAGTGTAGGGCTTTGAGGAGACTGGCAAAGGAGAGGTGAAAGGTAGGGGGACGGGCACCAGAGACAACCACCGGGATACCTCATTTAGCTGGAGGCCACCCTTGGGTGCGCCTGTATAGATCTCAAAACAGCTCCCCAAATATGCTCAGGTGAAAGAACAGCGTATTTTAGCACAGTGGTTAAAGCTCAGGCTCTGGATCAGACTGCTTCAATTTGATTCTTGGCTCTGTCACTTCTAGCTACTGTGACTTTGGAGGAGAAACTCTCTCTCTCTGATCCTAGGTTTCTCTGGCTGCAAAATGGGGACAATGATAGTACCTATTCCACTGAGTTGTTGGGAGAAATAAAGGAGTTATTGCATATAAAATCTTAGCACAGTGCCTGACTATAACATGCACTCAATATTATATATTATTATTTTTTTCTTTAAGGTAGCTAGAACTTTGGTCATTCACATATTATTTGCTAGATATTTATTAAATATATATTCCATGCAAGGCAATTTGCAGGCTATAAAGTTACACAAAATCCAGACCTTTCTCTAAAGAAGTAGACAGTCTGACAGGAGGGAAAAGCCACATGTATTAACAGCTACCAGCATAAAGCAATCTTCTTCCAGGGAGACTAGTACCCCTAAATGCTGCAGACAGAGGGAGGAGGGAGGGATGATGTCTGGTTGTGATGATCAGGGAGGAGTGAGCACTAAAGCTGGGCTTTGAGTGATGGGTAGGACTGCCATGGGCAGGGATGTATGAGAACATTCCAGGAAGTGCAGTTTGGTGGGCAAGAGCAAGGCTCTGGAGTCAGACTGTCCTGGATCTCAGTTCTGGTCTCACCATTCACTAGCTGTGTGTCCTTGGACACACACGCCTCTTTGAGGCTCCACTTCCTTGGCTGTAAAATGAGGATAACGTTACCAACCTCAGAAAGAAGGCAAAGAGAAAGCGTAGGTAAAGCACGAGGCGTGGCTCCCAGCGCAGAGTGAGCACACAGTATATTGCGGCTGATATCACTGCTGTTGGAAACAGCATAAGGGGTGGAGACAGAAGGACCAACATGTATTTGGCCCAGACTGGTTGCAGTATATTGTCATGCTAAGTAGGACGGGGATAGAAGGAAGGCTGAGGTCAGAGAAAATACACTTAAAAATAATAAAATCAATCCTTGTCCCTTAAGCCTTGCTATAAAATACACTCTTGACACAGTCCCTACTGTGAAAAGGCAAATGTTGATGAGGTTCTGGGCAGAAGCTGACCTGCAGAGATTGAGCCAAGAGGCAGCAGGGGTCCACCCTGGCCAGGGCCCCAGGGTGTATGAGCTCCCCTGGCAGCTGGGCCTGCCACCTGGCGCACCCAGAGCCTGCAGGCACAAGTGTCAGTCTGGGGAGGAGAGGGAAGGATTCCTCCCTTCCACAGGTAGAAAAGAATCCCCCCACATAAAATTATGAAAATGTCATCATCAACTGCTAATCTTCCTCCAAGTCTTTGTCTCCATGTCACCTTAATGAGGCCTGCACTCACCACCCTACCTATAATGACGCCCCTGACACTCCCCATTCCTTTACCTGCTTTATGTCACTAGACAGCAGTTACCACCTCGTAATATACCAGATAATGCACTTATTTTTACCTATTTATTTTATTGTTAATGTCTGTCTACTCCATTCCCCACCCCTATCCCAATTCCAGAATGTGAATTTGTATCCCCAGCCCCTGGGTGCTGAAAAAATGAATGAAAAAGGGACCCTCCACTCCCTGGAATAGTAACTTATGCCAGGCACTGAGTTAGGTGCTGCGATTATAGAGACAAACAGACCCAGTTCCTGCCCTCAAAGAGCTCATAGTCGGGAAGACAAGGCAGATGAGAGAGCCAGGTATGTCCATATGTCGTGCAAGGGGACCCAAGAGGTCCACCTGGGATGCCGGGGAGAGACCAAAGGGGCACCCAGCCCAGACTGGGGGAGCCTTTGCACAGGGTGACAGGAAAGGCTTCCAAAGGACACTCTTAAACTGAGTCTTAAAGACCAAGTAATTGTTATCCACCAGACAGTGGGGACGCACTTGCAAAGGTACACAGCTAGCAGAGACACGGCTCATTTGGGGACTGGTTAGTAGTTTGGCGTGACTGGAGGGGAATGGAGTATGACAAGAGGTGAGAATGAGGCAGAAAGAAGGGGCCCAAAGATCTCATTAGCCTTCAAATAGTAAAGGGCTATTTTTGGCCCTTTAGGAATCTTTGGCCAGGAAGAAGGACAAATTCAGCGGCCATTTATTTAACAGGAGATATTACAAAGTCTGGTCTCAGCTACCTCAGCAGCAGCCTCTGTACCGATCTACTAATCACTGGGTAACTGCACATCTTATCCCCCGGGGTTATCCAGGCAAGCCGCCTGTCCATGGAACAGGACGGCAGACAGTCCTCGGAAGGCCTTCACAAGCTCACCAGCTCTCTTGATCCTCTTTCTTTCCTTCAGTTGGTAAGGCTTGTGATCGTGAGACAAAGGAATGGCGTTCCCGTCCTTGTCACATAGGACCCCTCTTGAGTCACCCACGTTGGCCACGGTGAGGTCTTTATCTGATAGGAGAGCAATCAAACATGTTGTACCTGAAAAATTGAAGAGAGAGGCAATGTGGGAGGTCAGCAATGCTTTGAGGTTAGGCTGCTTCTGTGGTTACCGGATTCCTCAGTCATTAAAACCGCTCCTGCTGGGTGAGAATCTGACTCCAGCCACTCCAGGAATGATGGCTGTTCACTTCAACAACACTGATTGAATCTGACAGTCAATTTTCTTTAGAGTGTCACTGAAATAGGCTAAGATAAGATCACTATTTTCCCAAATCATTTTGTTTCTGCTGCTCTTAATTTAAACACATATCACATTTAAAAGGATTAGGCGAGAAACAAAATCAGTTTGAAGCTTCAGACAATTGATACATATTTTCTGCTTCTCGTTGCTGCTGAGTTTCTGTGATTCCCAGGTGAAAGTGGGGAAGATGGGAGTCGGGTGGGATCCTCAGCTGGAAGGCCTGGAAGAGCCAGTAAATGACAGATGACAACACCCAGATCCTATGGAGCCACCGGGAGCCGTGAAGGAGCTGCTCATACAAACTTGCCTACGTAACGTCTGACAGCAAAGACTGGTGGCCAGAGACAGGTCAGCTCCAGGGTGTGATGGGGGCGGACTACAAAGGTAGAAGCAGAAACCCCTACCATGACGACAGAAATGAGGCCTAGACAGGAGGTGGGGGCTGGGGGTGGTCAGAGTCATGAGAGAAGCAAGACAGAAGACCTGCTTGCCTGGAGCCTACTCGAGACACACAAGGACGAGCTCTCCTCAAACCCTCGTGGACTGAAAGAGTGTAAAAGCAGACTTGGCCAGCCTGGGCTAGCTGGAGACTGCCCTCATCACCTGCCTGGTGCCCCTGTCCACCTCTCCTTCTCTCCCCCTCCCTGTGACAGAGACACTGCGTATGCAAATACCTGCTGAAATGCACAGCCCATTAAGCTCTTGCTTCAAAGTGACAACACCTTGACTTGTTAAAATTATTTATCAATTAGTCTTCATTAATATTTCCCTCCTCAATAAGAAGGTCATTTTCCATAACAGAATGTAAACTGCACCTAAACAGCTCTTTAGTCTTCATAGAAAACAAAAAAGACTGCATTCTTTAATAGACATAAAGAATAAACACAGGTCAACATCATGAGCAGGGAGAATAATTAGAATAATTAGCATATTCAGTTATTATAGTTTGGTTTGAAATTCAAACAAAGTTAAACTTAAGCCTGTTTAACTCAAAACTGCCTTGATCAGAAATGGAAACACATGAAATGTTGGTTAAGTAAGGATTTCTGATATGAAAAGTCTCGTGAAAGAAAAAAAAGACTCATCTTGGGGATTATCAAAGCAAATCACAAATCTTTTAACCTTTAAAAAAAAAACCATAAGAATGAAATGTTAATACAAGAACAATTCATACAATTAGAAATTATTCTCAGTTTTTGATATTAGTTGCATTTTGGTCTTCAGCCGCCTCCCTCTGTCCTCAAGCATCTGATTGGGTTAACTTGTCTAACACAATCGGAGCATAAACTCTCCTACGAGGCACATTCTTAGAGTCTGAAAGGTGAGATGGAAACATTCCTTTACTGGATACTACATGGCTGGGGCATCAAATCACTATAACTCTTGGCGCCGTCTCTCTGTGGGGCCCTCCTCCCTCTCACTCTGCACATTCGGCCAGAACGTGTTCCTGACCTTGGCTTCCACCACCCTCTGAGCTGTGCCAGCTGTGCCGCTAGCTGGTTCACACTCTCCTGGGGTCCACATCAGTTGTCTAGTGGATATTTCCATTTGCCTGTGCTACAAGGGATCCAGGGAAAGGCTTCGGGGTCGCCATGTGAGGGAAGCAGAGGGATCCACCCGGCTGAGTTGTGGGCCCCTGCCACACCCCCATGTCAGCCATAGCAGCTTTACTTCCATTGTTAGCTGTATTGAGATGCATGTAAGATTTTTTTTTTTTAAAAAAAGGAGGGGAGAGGTCATTCTATAGCTAGAAAGACAATTGAAATTTAATCATATATGTGATGAAGAACCACTGAAGGGTTTTAAGCAAGATAGTGACATGCTGAGATGTATGTTTTAAAAGATCATTTCAGGGGCCGGCCTGGTGACCTAGCAGTTAAGTTCCTGCACTCTGCTTCCTCTGCCCAGGGTTCGCAGGCTCCGATGCCAGGTGCCGACCAACGCACCGCTTGTCAAGCCATGCTGTGGTGGTATCCCATATAAAATAGAGGAAGATGGACACAGATGTTAGCCCAGGGCCTATCTTCCTCAGCAAGAAATGGAGGATTGGCAACAGATGTTAGCTCAGGGCTACTCTTCCTCACAAAAAAAGACCATTTCAGTGGCATTGTAGAAGACAAACGAGAAGCAGAGAGAATAGGTAGAGTTCATGAGGATCTGAATTAATGTAGTAAATGTAGGGATAGGGCCCGCCCTGTGGCTTAGTGGTTAAGTGCGCGCGCTCTGCTACTGGCGGCCTGGGTTCGGATCCTGGGCGCGCACCGACGCACCGCTTCTCTGGCCATGCTGAGGTCGCATCCCACATACAGCAACTAGAAGGATGTGCAGCTATGACATACAACTATCTACTGGGGCTTTGGGGGAAAAATAAATGAATAAAATTATAAAATTAAAAAAATAAAATAAAATAAATGTAGGGATAGTGGGTAGGGTACAGATTAAAACCAGAATGGACAGGTCATAGACAATGAGGGAAATAAAGGAAAGCAGGGAAAGTCTAGGATACGGACTGTCCTGGAGTCTAGATGGGGGACTGGGTGTTCCATGGAGAAGGATTTCAGGGGATATCTCTCTGGGGTTTCTGGGAAAGGCTTTCTCTCTCACTAAAACAGAAAGGACACAGAAAAACCCACTTCTTTGGCCTAGTGTTGGCTCACGTGTTTCCCGGAACTGTGGCAGCCATCTTGCAACTATGACGGGATATGCCTCAGGGTCAAGGCACTGTGCCAGGAGGGGAGACAGAGAGGGAAAGAGCCTGAGTCCCTGAGACATCACGGAACTGCCGAACCAGCCTGGAACTGCCTGTTCTCCTTCTGTGAGACAATAAATGTCTTTACTGCTTAAGGCTTTTTAAATTGGATTTTTGTGTTCCTTGTAGTATCTTAACTGATTCAGGGTCTTATAGTTCAATAAGAGGCTTATCGATAAGAGATTTAGAGTGTGGCTGCTTTGCTTAAGTTGGATATACTTGAGATTCAAGGCCCGCCAATTCCTTTGTCAAGAACACAACTCCATTGTTTCTGTGGGTGAATAAGATCTACCTCTTAACATGGATTTCAGGAATGTATTGCTTTGAGAAGTGGGGACTGTCTATGTTAGCAATACAATCTTAGACCTGGCCAAAATGGGTGAGCCCCTGATGGTGGAATTAGAGTTGCAGGCAGTGTTTAGATCACTGAAATGTCACCATTCCCTCTCTGTAGAAACTTCCTGTATCCTGGGACGATCTCAAGCAAGATCTAAAACATATCAGTATGCTTCAGTGTAAGCAACTTATTGTTTGGGCTTGGCAGTCATAGCTCAGGATTATAAGAAACAGTTTATAATCTAACCTTACTTCACAGATCAAACTACCTTGTTGCTCAGAAACTCCAGAAGAACACGGTACCCAAGAGAAAATGGACAAAATCACTTGTTATTTTGTATGTGTGAGAAAAAAGACTCCCAAGATTCTGACTACTAGTTTTGAGATGGAAGACGTACTCCATCATAGTACTATTTATCAAAAATACCAGAGTCTGACAATCTTACTTGATTCTGAACCTCAGGATGTTTCTATATTAATAATTTAATCTAGATGAGAACTTAATTGCAATCTGGAAGATATCTTGGAAATTTAACCTAATAACCTCACTTCACAGATTTAAAAAAAAACTAAAAAAGTGAATTCACACAGTCTAGACTTCAGTGTCCTAGCTGAGTGAGGTCTGGCAAGTTATTTAACTTTTAAGCCTCAGAAAATGGCAGCACAATCCACTCAGTTGCTCAAGCTAAGAGGCATCCTTGGTTTTTCTCTTTTCCTCATTCTTGACATTCAATCCACCATTAGGTTCTGTCACCCTCATCTCTAAAATACACGTAACCCTTCCAGTTCTCTTGTTCTCACTGCGCTGACTCTAGTCTAAACCACCACCATTTCAGCCAGTGCGCTATTTCAGAGGCCCTGTGAGAAACAGTGGTGGCGGGTCCTGCGTGGTCTGGCCCCCCCCAACTGCCCAGTGTCACGTCATACCACTCTCTCTCTTGCACAAGGCCTCCCTGCTGTTGCCCAAACATGCCAAGCCTTTTGTCACCTTTGGGCCTTTGTACTCACTGTTCCCTCCTCCCAGTATTATCTCCCTGTCCTTGACACCAGAATATGGTGACGTCTTGGTTCAAATGTGACATCTTCAGAGAGGCATTCCCTGACAGGGGATCTCATCTCCTCTTTATTTCTTTTATTGCCCTCACAACACACAATTATGTAAACATCTTGTTCATTTATTTAAACAATTTATTTAATGTCAGTCTTCTCCTGTACAATGTACACTTCACGTGGGTAAGGACACTGTCTGCTTGTTTTCCCTATTATGATGCTGACGTCTAGAATATCGCAGGCACTCAGTATTTGCTGAATAAATGAATTAATAGATGAATGAATAAACAATCACACCCTGTCTCTTTGGTCCTGATTTGACATTATGCTAAGCTCCTGTTTTCTCGCTCTGAGCACGTCGATCCAGTTCAATACCACACTGTACACCGTCTTCCAGATATCGCCACAGCAGGGAGATACTCAGCTGTAGCAAAATACATTTTACACATTGACCAAAACATGACAGCCCCCTGTGCACATACAACACGTGCTCACAGCCACACTGCTAGGACGTGGAGAGGACTCCCAGCCCGGGCCTGTCCTGAGTTCTTTTCTCCAGTCCAGGCTCCTGGCCCAATGCAACTGGAACACGGGTAGGCCTTCCATCCTCACCACAGCTTCCAAAGCCGTGGCGCCTTGTGAAGCCATAAAGGGGCCTCATGG